AAACCACCGTTTGCGCTGTGAGAAGGCATTGCTTTGCCATAAACTCAGTTGAATTTTCCCAAGGTAAACTCTCCATACTCTGAATTGGTCACCTTTTTTGCCTTTAGCTCAGCCTCCTTATAGGAAGTTATCGGGCTAGTTGTTGGTGAGAAGAGCTGGCTTTCAGTTTGTCCCCACCCCCCACCCCAGATTGGAAAAGTCTAGTAAATGCTGTTTTGTCACATCTTTTTGCCGGTCCTGTTCTAATCTCTCCAGATTGTTGGAGATGTGGAGGTTAGTTTTACTTACAGACCTCTTGCCAACAAAGAGCTCCTCGATTCTTGGTTGTTTTGCTTCTTCACTGGAGGGAGAGATCCTGGCCTGGTGCCATGGCATTTCTTTCTTTTTCTCATGTTTTTTTTAATTCTTGGCAGCAACAAAAGTTTTTGTTTGTATTATGTTCTACGCTCTTATCTCCACCAAAAAATGTTAATTAAATAAAAAATGATCCAATGGGAGTACTACAAATTGATAAAATGAAATAAAACCGGGAGGCACTACTGCAAACACTCTAGCTGCACCGGCTGCAGCTCCCGAGGTGGAGATAGCAGTCAGATTGGGTTAACTCCATCCAGTATCCAATGGGATTGAGTCTACAACTGTGAAGTCACACACATTGTGTGTGAATTCTATTGTGACCGTAATTTTAAAACAATTTTAGTATGATGCAATTTCATTCATGAAAAAAGACCTTCCAAATGAAATTTTCTACAGCTGTTTATTGAAATGCACTTATGTGACTTGCAATTAATATATAACAATGTATTATTAACTGTATTAATGTTAAAAGATTTTGCTTTTAAACATTTATCTTTTGAGCACAGGAATCTAATTTGCTGACTCAAATACTGTATGGTACTTCTAAAGGGTATTATAGTTTATATAGTACAGTTACTTCAATTAAGTTTTATAATTCATTTTTATAATTGTTTGCTTCTTCTTTGACGCTGAATTTGGCTAATAGTCTTGTTAAAAATAACTTCAATACCAGGAAAAAAAACCTTTATTCAATTTTAATACAGCTTTTATACAATTTTAAAATATTTGCTCAATTTATGTAAAGTTCTTGAATTATATGGAAAAAGTTCATGTTGATCATTTAGAAACAATTTAAATAATTTTGTTACATAGCTTTGAAATTCAAAATGATAGAATATATAGAAAATTCAGCTTCTGGAGGAGGTCAGTTTCACTTGTTCACGTACTTTCTGAGTAGATATAGTCCACTAAACAGTTTGTTTAGTGACCGTTCAAAACACTAAAAAAAGTGAGTTATGACCATTTTTCATATTTACAACCATTAAAGCATCCCCGTGGTCATGTGATTTACATTTGGATGCTTGAAAATTGACTTACATTTATAACGGTTGCAGTGTCATGTTGTTGTCATGTATTATGTACCTGTTCTCATTTAATCCCAAGCTACCCTCCCAGCAGACATCCATACAGTGGGGCAAAAAAGTATTTAGTCAGCCATCAATTGTGCAAGTTCTCCCACTTAAAAAGATGAGAGAGGCCTGTAATTGACATC